CAGTATACGCTGACATCGAATTTGTCTTCATTATCTGCTTCCCGCTTCTGTGGACGAAGCTACAAGCGGTTTTATTGTGAAAAAATCGTACATAAAAACTGTGAAGTTGAGCACATTGTTGCAATTTTAGCTCAGCTTTAGGCTTTGAGAGTTTGAAGTAAGTTAGCTGCATGTTTTGGCCCAGCATTGAGGCGAACGAGGCTCTGTACGGCTAAATTTTCAATTTCACGCATAATTTCTAAGCAAAATAATGGTCTTTAATGGCTTATAACTTCGTCCAGAAAAGCAATAAGCAGATAAAGAAGACAGATTTAGAGTCAGCGCTTCATGCTGCATCTAACGCTACGCAGCTTGTCTGGAATGGCCACTTCGATTTCTGACCATTCCCTTGTTAGCAGATTTATACTTTTGTCGCCCAGGTTTATTCACTTTTTGAAAACGTGGAAGAACAAACTCAAACTTGTTATGACAATGTCCGCAATGCGGTCTCGCGTCTCCTAGTCATAGAATAGATGATGCCTTAGCATATACCGAACTATTGAAGTTAATAATGGTCTTAGGAATTACCCTAATATTTCACAAGTACAGCACGCACCTCGTTTTTGTGTTTAAACTTAACCAGCCTAAACGCACCAAAAGATTTTGCGACCGAGGGACTCTCTACCGTGCTGCGTAGCCTGAGGGTCTGCACGGCGTAGGTTTCGTTTCTCGAAACACGTGGACTCAGCTTAGCGGCATGCTTGAAAAATCGAAAAAGGTGCGTACTTGTACTCGTGCAATAAAGGTAAAGCGCAACAATGTTAAGTCCTCATCTTTTTGTTAGGTCGACCCGAAAGTTCTTTCGCACAATTTTCAAAAATTCACAACTTCTGATATTTCCAACCTATTTGACAGTGCCTATCTTTATATGAAAGAGAAAATCATGCTCTTTATAGAGATGCCTTAACAGATTACTAATATTCATGCATTGCATAGATAGAAGCGGTAGAAGAAAACTAGTCAAAATTCGAATTTTTGTATAGGGTCACAAATAAATCCGAGACTTGCAGTAAAAATCTGAGCGGTTGTTATACTAGGTTCTGTTACCTGCTCTTTCTAATGTGCAAAGCTTGTGCTGGTTGAGCGGCTCTATCAAAAGTTATGATTTACGAGGAAAATGCCAAAATAAATCATAATCCATTTTTGTATTGCTTGCTCGAAAACCATAACTTTTCATAGAGATGTTCAATCAGCACAAGCTTTGCACATCTAAAAAGAACAGGAAACATATCCTATAATAGTAACCGCTTTTTATTGCGAGTCTCAAATTTTTCATGACCAAGGAGAAATTTTGAGTTAATAGCCGAGTACTGCTTATCATTTACGCACCTCAGAAGGCCATCGTAGTGGACTAAATGAGTCCTCATATTAAGTCGATACTAACAGAGGAGTAAATAAAAAATGAAAATGAAGTATAATAGCTACGGGAAAGATTAAATGAATAGTGAATTGCATACCGCACCGAACACGAAGTTTAGTTCCCCTTATTAGAGGTTTAAAATGCTTAAAAGATTTAGTTGTCCTAAAAGCCCTGGGCATACCTCTCGCGATTTCAGTTCTAGGGCCATTTTTCGGATCTCTTCAAATCCAACACTCGCAGACCACGAATGCTTGGTGTATTCAACATGTGTGAGTCTAAAAGTCTAAAATCGCGTTTTCTTCTAGCTTAAAGGCAGCGTCCGGGGCAGATTCTCCAATTCAATTTTCTGCCGTACCCAGGCCTTTCCATGGCACTGTTTCCAATGACACTTGAAAAGCGTGAAACCTCTGAAAAATCTTTTTCAGTGCTATTTTATGAGAACCCTAAACGAGTACCTAGCCGTACTCTTTAATGAAGTGTGCAACCTTGTCATCTTATATATAAAGCTGAATGTCTGTTTGTTTGTCTGTATGTATGTCTGTATGTACGTATGTTCCGAATAGAAATTTTTATTTCTAAACCGATCAGGACCAAACTTGGCACACATACACTTCGGCGCGGGGCGGGCGTCATAGGTTACTTCTCGTTATCGATCGATATCAATTCAATCAACTTTATCGATTTTTATCGATTTTCTTGCAAAGTTTGAGCGGCGCTGGGAGTTGGCACAAGGGGGTAATCGAGCGTGCTGATAACAGCTTCTTAACAATATGACAGTGCGACAGTGGCAAAGAGTCATTCCAACAACATGCGCAAATATTTCTACATCTCAACAGCTTATTCTTTTGTCTCAGGGGAGGGGAACATTTAGATAAGTCATCAACGCAGAAAATTGGACACCGTCTTAGGTAGTTGCCAGGGGCAGGCGGCCATGCGATTTATAGGCAGGCGGGCACCGGAAAAATAGTTCGCTGATTTCTTGCGGGCGGTCCCTTGCAGAAATTCGGAAGAATGTGGGTCAATTTTTAGACGAAAGCTTGGTGAACATTCGCAGTCTTTCCACGAATTAGTTGCGGCGCATTGGCCGCATTCTCGTGGCTTTTCGCGAGAATATACAAAATTATTGAGAGCCGCACGATCCTTTGTGAAGGACGCACAGCTCGTAGGTACCTTTTGCTAAGAGAAAGTACCCCAAACTCGGGTAATCAAACCATCGATAGCACCTCTGCTATGACGAGTGTCACCTTTGCTCGGCATGCGCCAGAAATTGTAAAAAGAGTCCGAGCGCCTGCTGAAAGTTTGGTCAGCGCTCGCTGAAAGAGATTGTTGGACCGCTTGCAGAAAACTTTGTATTGCTGCCCGCTGGCAGAAGACGGAAGTGACGCTTGCCGAAGTTAGGCCACGCTCCAAAATTTTGCTGACCGCTTGTTTGCGGACCGCCTGCATCCAGCGATTATCTGAGGTTATTAGATTCGGCCAAGACGGAGTTTAACAAAAAAAACTAGTAATGCGGTACTTTAACTAGCTCTCATATATTCCGCACTCCTAGATTTTTGATCTGTGTGGTCCTTTATAAAGTACTCACACTTTCCACGCATATAACAAGATATATTGAGTCAGTGGGTCGACATTTTCGAAAAAGTGATCTAACGAGAATTATTGGCGAAAGCTGCAGCGCTCTCCATTGTTCAACCAAGTTTTTGTATGATCTGATAGAACCAGTCATTTATGACTTTCAACGGATAGCAAATTTCACTTGCGGATAAATTACCTTACAAGGGAATGGTCAGAAGTCGAGGTGACCAATCCAGACAAGCTGCATACCATTCGATGCAACTTAGAAAGCTGATTTCAGATCTGTTTTCCATATCTGCAGAGCTCCTTTGTAAGCGAAGTTATGACCAGCTTTAGTGCGAAAAAATCGTACACAAAAATTGCGAGATTAGGCACATTATTGCCCTTTTCGCTCACCTTTAGGTACTGGCCATATGAAGTAGCCTAGCTGCATGTTTCGGTTTAGCAACCTGGTACTGAGCCAGGAACGGTTCTGTACGGCCAGGTTTGCCCTTTAGACACACAAATTCTTAGCAAAATAATGGCATTTAACAGCTTGTAATTCCATCCACAAAAGTGATCTGCAGAAGGGAAGACAGATTTGGAGTCAGCGTTTTATGCTGCATCTAACGGTATGCACTTGCTTACATTGGCCACTTCGCTTTCTGACCATTCCCTTGTTAGCAGCCAAGTTACTTTTAATAAGGTATCATCTCGCATAACCTGACGGTATGAAAGGGCCTAATTGCCATGCTTTGGAGCCAAACGATAGTTATCATCCCTTCATCCCTTGTTCAATAAACCGCAGTACCACATTGGTTCCATTGAATGTCTAACAGAGAGATGGCATATCGGAGCTAGGAACGAACTCCGCCATTAAATAGGCCTCCTCCCGCGTATTACTGGTCCTGTGGCGCACGTTATGGCTTACCTCATACTCAACAGTAGCCCCGCCGAAGCGATTCTGGTGCCAAATTTCATTTTCCCACCTTTTATCTATAACGAGAGAAAGAAATTTGCATATTTTGATCATAATTGAACTTCCACAAGAGTTACTACCAAAGGCTCATGTTTCGCTCAATGTGGCGCGCGATTTCCACTGGTAGTATCAGAACAAATCGGTTAGAGCTTTGATCAGACATCTTGTTAGTTTCAAAGTACTGCACAATTATACCCTTGCTCAAAAAGGCTACGTTCTAACTCTTTGCCGCATGGCTATAAAAATTAGGAATTAGTGAGCATGCTTAATTTCTCTGCACTTTAATAAGCAAAAGGCGACCAAAACATTTGTTGATATTGTCGGGAATGCAAAGGGTTTAAACTGTTTCAATTTTGGCTCCAAATCAATGCATTTTTTGTGACGCGCAGGAATTGTGACTAGTGCGTCTATTCACATAAATACAAGGTCGACTCAGGCATAATCGAAGATGAAATACATGATGAATAAAGAGCATTGACTTCGAAATTAGATTCATTGCATCCTGTCAGGCTATGTTCCCCTATTTGTATATTCCTGTAGTGTAATGCAAACAATTTGCCCCTATCAATTCTCCATAATGATTTTTTTACGTCTACAGCAGTGTATGTAGGATAGTGCTTGTACTTCGATCATACGACCATCCTAACCGAAGACAATTGTCTAGGAGCCTTAGACTTTGTTGTGTTGGCTTTGTGTTTACGGAAACAACAATACAACATCAATTTATTCAACTCTTCATGGGTGAAGAAGTTTAGGCCAAGTTCTTCTTGTACTGAAATATGTGCTAAAGTTTTTGAACCAGTCTAAGAATATATCTGCAAAGCACTTGAAAAAAAAAGACTTTCGCAGCGTTGAAGGCGAACATTGCAAGCGATTAGGTAGTCTGACTGCCATTTGGCTTCGAGTTTTGTCTCTGTTCATCCTTCAGATAAAATCAATAAGCTGCACAAAGTTTTCGGTGATTTAGTGTGTTGCAATGATGATTAGTTGCGGTGAGAGGGTCGAGAAGCGTGTTGTGTCAAGTGCAGTTAGGTTGAAAAGTTCTCATACGGCTCATGACAGAAAGCATCAATAGTGCCTCACCCCGAGCTTATCCGTCACATAGGGCGCAGCTCGTGTATTGTGTCCTAACGGCATCGGAGCCTGTTTCTAAATAATAATATTTTTGTTCAGGGAATTTTGCACACTTTATAATTGAAGTTACCGTCGTTTACTTTCCGTTAACTCTAACAAGAGAAGGATACTTGGCCGAAGTGACCTTTTCATATGAGATGTGCACTATTTTATAAAGCATGGAACGCTGATTCTAAATCTGCTTTCGCTATCTGCAAAGCGCTTCCGGGAGTGTAGTCATGGAAATTTTTTGATGCAAAAATTTGAAAGTGTTGCTACAACAAAATTATTCAGAATCTTAGTTCGTGAGTTCCAACGGCGCCATGATTACTACCAAGGCGTTTTGTGGAATAAAGACCTTCATCTAATGTACTCATTTCGGTCATTATCCATTTCAAGCACCGGAAAGACCTCAACACCTATTTTTATCTTAGCCTTATCATTAAATTTTTTACCACAAAAAATTCCCAGAACTCCCCTCTCAAAAATGCTTTGCAGATAACGAAAACAGATTTGGAATCAGCATTCTATGCTCTATAAAATAGTATACACCTCATATGGAAAGGCCACTTCGACCAATATCCTCCCCTTGTAAGTTCTGGATATGCAGAACTAAGCAAGGTAATGCAAAATTCAGCAGAATTGATGCGTGGGTTCTAAAAATGGGGTCCTGGGTTCTAAAAATGAAACCTTTTCCTGGGTTCTAAAAATGTAGGCACGGTAAAAAGCCGAGAAATCTTGGAATCACTGCGCTAGCTCCGCGTAATGTATTCATGAAACATTATAATTTTGTCATCATGTGTGCTCAGATGCCCGTTAAATCAGTGTTGCTACTTCGTCTGCTTAATGCTATATCAAAGCTGTATTTCTCCGACTTCTTCCAATTTAAATAATTTCGCGGTCTCACCATCATAGCATTCGAAAGCCGCACGCTATAATATAATTCAAATCTTACCGAAGTGACTTGATCGTTTGGTTGTTCGCTGTTGGAACCAGGCTGAACACACAATTTGATCGATTGAATCGTAAAAGTTAGCATTTTCATAAAGAGGGAGAGATAAAGAAAGGGGGAGAAAGCTGGTAATGTTTGAAAGTGCAATAATTCGAGCCATTTCGGAGAGGTTTTCGGACACAATAGGCTACGGGATTGAGAGCCATTATTAGTTCCAGGTAATTTATTTGAGTACTACGTGCTTTGGGATAGGGGACTATGTATATGTCGCCGATAGGCTCCACCATGTGCGAATAACACAATCTGTAATGTATGCAGTATGTATGGCTGCGTGTTCTGTTGCAGATGTCCACGTGGAATCCATTTCGACGGCACATAATCCCCTACCCCGTACTTGGATTTGACATCACATGGAAATAAGTTCAAAGGATATGAACTCACTCGATTCCAGCGCCAGGGAGCTTGCGTTGTGCGTTTGTAGCTAGACATGAAGTCTCCGTACTGCAAATTTCTAACTAAGAAAACTGTTGTGCCATGCAAGTCGGAATTTTTTAATGTCTGTGAGTCATTAGAAAGTGCTATTATCTAACTATTTTGAGCGAACTATTCGTTTCAGAGTGGTATACATATTTGAGATTAGCGATACACGCCTACTTTTTCCTTTTTCCCCTTTGCCTTTCACTTACTCTTTTGAAAAAATTGTTCAAATATGTAGAAACTCAGCTTATTTAAGAACAGAAAGATTTTGCTAACCACATCCGTGATGCTGCAATATCAATACTTATATAATATTAGGACTGGACTTTTTTATGACTGGCTTAAAACGATGCGAAGAGTTAAGGAATTTGACCAAATTCCGCAATTATATACTTTTTGTTACTGATTTTTGGGCATAACGCTCCGGCAAACCAAAAATTGGTAGAGGATTTAAGCATGCTTGTTACGAATAAAAACTATTTTCACTTCCTCACTGCTTCTAGGTATTTATTTGATCTTTCAAACTTATGCCAATGTCATTGTCGCTAAGGGGCAGTAGTGCGGCTGCTTTTTGTATTACATATTATACTGTTGGTTGGGCTTCAAAAATATTTTTGAGAAAATGGAAGGTGCATGATGTCTATCGATACATAGATTCTGTGCAGCAAGAGATTTTTGAGAATAACAAAGTCATACTTATGTTGCCGCATGCTGATTTACTTGTGTGCATGAAAAAATGTAGAAAAATTTCTAAACGGGTAAAACTAAATATATGGTTCTATATAATTTAAGTTGCCTAGCCTTGGGGAAAAAGCCTCCTAACAAATTTGTAATCTTGCCTCCTTTTCAAAAAATATGTAGGAGGCTTCAATGTCACTTGAAAGTGCAAAACAAACTTGCAAAACGTGGTTCAAAAAATGCTCCTCTATTACTGCATTTACTTTCCGAAAACTCTATGTTTTATACGTTAGATTTAGTGCTTATAACTTGACTGAAGTCTGTGCTTTTTTGAAATACTGCAAGAATAAGAATCTTCTTGTAAAAAAACGTTTTTCTTTCCTAGGTGTCCATCATGCGAGGTTGTGGCATACACAATAGTGTATACGCTACTGCATGAAAAAGCTTGCAGGTTTTTCCGAACTAACTAGCGGCTCCTAGTAGGTCTTGGGACCAAACTCAGAATAGCGAAATTTGAATGTCGTTTTCCAAGCGTTCTTCTTCAAGGCCACCACAAAGGGTTGCAATATCGACAAGCCTTTCTTTATTCAAAAACGCAAAACCAAGAATTTAAATTTACGATTTAGAAATATTATTTGACCCACGCAAGTTGGCCAACAATAAAAAAATTTGTTTAGAAAACTTCGTTTCTAAAATATTTTCTTAAAAACAGATTGCGGACTCATGCAGGCTGCTGAAAGCTTTATTATAGTAAACTTACACGATGTCTCGGAGGCGGTGTCGAACGGTTAGGGCCAGCCTAAAGTAGTTTATTAGTCAAGGAGAGCGTGTTATTTTTTGAGAACTGTGTTCGTTATTACATTGAAAAAAAGAAAATTTGCGTACGATTTCTTCTGTTCTGTTCATCAAATAATTTAGAACTACTTAACAGAACTTGGGCAAATTAACATTTGTCATATCTGCGACTAGTTCGAAAAAAGCCGTTGAATACTTTTCTTGGATTTGGCCGTGGGTCTGCAAAAATTTCATTAAGCTTCCAAAAAACCTCCTAGAGGGCGTGAATACCACCCAGCCAAAAAAAATGTTTCTTTGCACCCATTATCCCTTTTATGAACAAAGTTTACCGGACCTAAACATATGGTTTTAGTAAGCTTTAGGAGTTTGTGTAGTTCGAATCAAGCCCTCTCAAATCTCAAGTCTGCAAACTGTACGTTGTACACCAAGAATTCATCTGAGTACAGTAGCACTAGTTGAGACTAGTCCCTCAAGCCAGGTGCACACATTATTCGATCAATGAACTTACCTTTCCGGGGCCAGCAAAGACGAATTCCAGTTGTGTCAGTAGATCCAAAAGCTGAAAATTCCAGTTAATCCTTGTTGCAGGCATATAAACAATGGACATTACGTTTTGGAGGATTCAATTTCCACACTACTCTCATGCAGTATAATCTTAGTTACAAAAAACACTGTCGGTGTGAATCCCCGATTAATACTGATATTTCAAAACTACTCAATGTGACACGCATTCAGTAATTGATTTTTAACTAATTCTCACTTTCCAAAATCAGTAGATCTCCATTTTTAGAACTCTTTGTTCTCCAGCACACTGATAGTTTTGTAAGTATAATCTTCCCTTTTGGCAAGAGAAACAAGTTGCACTACTATATTCAGTACTAGCTGGCTTACCCGGCTCCGCCGTATGTTCCGAATAGAAAATTCCATTTCTTAACCGATCCGGACCAAACTTGGCACACATACACTTCGGGCCCCGGCGGGTGTCACAGTCCACTTTTCGTTATCGATCGATGTCGATTTTATCGATTTTTTGCAAAATTTGAGCTAGGGGGCTGGAATCTGGCAGAGGAGTGTAATCGAACATGCTGATCACCCCCACGGGGGTGATCAGCATGCTCGATTATCCCCCTGTGCCAAATCACAGCCCCGTAGCTCAAACTTTGCAAAAAATCGATAAAATCGATATCGATCGATGACGAAAAGTAGCCTATGACACCCGCCGGGGCCCATAGTGTATGTGTGTCAAGTTTGGTCCGGATCGGTTCAGAAATGGAATTTTCTATTCGGAACATACGTACAGACAGACATACAGACATACAGACATACAGACAGACAGACAGACAAACAGACATTCAGCTTTATATATAAGATTATTTTAGTATCGTTACATTATGTGCGTCTTATACGAAAGATGAAGACTTCATTGTCGTGATGGGATCTCAATCCAAGACTGTTGTTAACTTCAATAGCTTGCTTAGTGTATACTAATGTAGAAATCGAGTAGTCACTACAACCCATACGCATTTCTGAACTATTGCGATCACAATCTTACCTCGTGAGGGTCTTTTATATCCTTTGCCAAAGCCTCAAGCTGATCGGAAACAGGTGCTTCTTTGTTCTGAAAACATAACTTTTACTAGTCCTAATTGGAGCTTCTGAGACTGCAAATTAGCTCATTTTACGACCTATCAAGGAATTCACTTCGGAGTAAGGCGCGCTCCAGTAGGGCGCATGCAAATAATCCGTTCATATCTAGATTCGCGCTACTTCCAAGTTCAGCTGTCAAACATTGTAAGTTTTTTTAGACTAACAATAAGCTTGCACGTAAGAGGACCACTCACAGTCAAAGGTTGAAAAGGGTTTCTGCTATTAATTCTCAAAATTTAAGCTCCCGTAATGAATTATTTTGATTAGATGGTTTTCCAGAAGGCTATTAATGCTAATCAAATGTATCTCGAGTATTACTCCACCCACGTAGAAATGATTCGCCATAACTTAGTTTGTTAGTTTAGTAGATCTAAGTTTTCAAAAACATTAGCAGTACTCAGACGTAATTCCTAGTTAGTATATTGTAAATAAAAACACTTGAGTTCCAGGCTAGCTCTCTGATCCCTGAGATTCAGTGCATTTTTGCTTATGACTTCAGATTTGAGAAAAAAACTTAAGAGTACTGCAATTTAAATGATCTCAAAAATAAGAGATCTACGGAATCATGACTGAATGGTGCTTATAAATTCGTCAGGAGCTTCCACTTTCTCATTTATGCTGAAAGGGAAGGAAACTTGAAACGACATTAGTAAGCAAGAGAAATTTCCTCTATTTTATAAAGTGGTCTAAGCCATTAAGCCATTAGAATATTTAGATGTGCAGATAAACTTAAGGTTTCTTAGACGTTGCGAAATGCATTAGTCTTACTTGATCTGCCTCTACGAACACGGCGGGAGCGGCACTTCCGATGCTCTTCCACACAAAGCTTGTATTTGAATGTCAAAATCTGTTTGCTTTACACATGTACTTTTTTGAGCTAAGCTTTTTTGTTGTTCATAATCTTCCGCTCTTATTAGTTTCAAAGATGCACTCAAGAAGGGTGACAATACAAAAATAAGCGGGAGTAATGCTTCGGAGATTGAGCATTTAGTTTAGTCTGCCATCATAATTTAGAAACCGGTGCAGCTATCTTTGAACCGCGAAGTCAACAGTTTTGAAGAAGGAGCAAGAGAGTGAGATAAGGAAAAATAATCGGACACAATGTTTAAAATTTAAAACTTAGGATACAATTAAATGAATCAATGCTGGACGTAAAAGCACTGCTTACCAAGAGGTGCCTGTACTCTGGAGGTATCGTATCATCTCTTTCTCCCTGTTTAGGAGAATATGTCTGAAATGCAGCATTTATGTTTGTTTGATTTCTGTACATTTTTATGACAAGGCTTTCGAGGTCTAAAGCTTTTTTTCCACATTTAGAGTTTTAGAGATGACTAGTAAGCCGGGTGTTAGTGCATAAATCTAATATTGTTTGACACAAATTTCATGTACATTCAGTCCAGTCTTCATTATATCAATCTGTATCAATCTTGTGCACTTGGAGGTATTGAGTTAGGGTTTTCTCCTGATTTCACAAGTTTGGACTTAATAGCAATGTTTCTTTTTTTGAAGGATTTTCCATTTCTTATTTTTGAGCTCTGCAGGTGCAGCACTAAGCCGGGTAATGCAGAAGTTTCCAGAATCATTGTGACATAACAACAACAAGCTCGATTGTAACTAGTTGCTATTATACTGATCTATAAACTACGAACTTAGAAGTGTTATATGCTACTTTGTTTGCCCAGTGCTGCATCAAGGCCACGATGTTTTACTCTTATTTTCATTATTTTCGCTGCTACTTAGTACAAGCTCTCATACGCACTATCATATCACTCGGAATCTACTCGCCATAGTATGACTGAAACTCACTTTTTCGATTGTACTCTCCGCACCTCCCGGTCCAAACTAAAATACGCAACTTAATCTACTGAGCCGCAAAGATAATTGTAGAAAGAAGAAAGTTGGTTCTTGAACAAAACTCAGTTATACTCACTGGAAGCCGCCTTTTCGGAGGAATCGCAAAGTCTTTGTGCCCCGGAGGAATGTAACTTTGTGCCTGAACAGTAACAGTTACTTTAAGTGATTTCTGCACATTTCACTTGGTAGATTAACAGCCTTCGTTCACTTCACAACTAGTTTTGAAGGTACGGCTAAGGGCGAAATGGTAATACGAGCTCAGTAATTGTTTCGTTGGCACTAACAATAAGTTTACTTTGATCAAGCAAACTAACCACTAAACATGCGAATCTAAACATTCACTTTTGGTTGAGTTTTTCACAGTGTTCATTAATAATATCCTGTCAAATAGCCTATCATCATACTAAAATGCGAAGAGAAATTGCAGGATTTAGTGCATGTTACTTTTTTGCTCCGGGCTGCATCGGAACTATGATGGGCAATCATAGAAACTAGTCCATGCTACTTTGCAAGCTCAGTGCTGCATTGAGATTGTGAAAATGCTTCTCATGATTCCGCTCAGTTACACTACTGTTCCTAGCTCAAGCTAATATAAGCCATTGCAGCACTAAAAAGCCAATGCCGTTTCACAATTTACATAATCCGAATCTCACCTTTTGGATAGGTTCCTCATTCGGGATCGCCTAAATTGATAAATTCAATAAATGTACCGCAAAGAAAGCACTCGAAAGAGGGAATGATCGAAATTTTTGAAAGTAACTTACTTGAGTTATAAAAATATGCAAATGACTTGTTTATACTTGTGGTTAATTAAAATAATTTTTAAAAAATTCTTGATACATTTTAACCCGATAGAAATTAATTTTCATAGTGCGTGGCTAACGTCACGACCCTCACCAGAAAAAAAAATTTCGTCCCCCTCCCTCCCCGAACAGGAATCTTGATTACGCCACTGAAGAAGCTAGATCGTTTTTGAGTTCTTCAGTGCGAACACCCAAAATCAGAGACGGAATGTGATCTCGAATGTGGATGCAATAATCAGTGACAATTTAAAAAACTGTCTATTCGACCTGAACTACTGCCTAATAAAAAATTTTTCGCCTTGAAGAAGTTTTTAGGTTGACTTTGGTGACATCGATAGTCCTGAACCTGTGATAATGGGTCTCACTGAACTTTCTAAACTCACCGCTGGCATCGCACCCAAAGCTGCGACTACTAACACCTAAAATACATGGCATTAGAGTTTGCATACAAGGAAAGAAAATTGTAAACTGCTACCGCTAAAAATGCAAGAAGTTTCATCTTTGATGAAATTGAATGTGGCTTTGGCTCTCACCTTTTATACACCTACGCTGATGTACGAACATGCTGAACTAACACAGACCACCAAGATCAAGTAAATTTGGCTAAATTGTGACTACACAAACACTTCGTTGAGTTAACCTTTAATTGGTGATGTAGCCGAAAGACAAAACAGCTGCACATAGGGTTTTAAATAAATAAAAACTAACGATAAGTATACTGAATTTTCGGCGTGCACATCAAATAAATTTGACTTCAAATCGTGACTACACAAAAACCTCGTTGAATTAGCCTCTTGTTAGTGATGTAGCCAAATGACAAAACAGCTGCACAGGATTGCAAATCAAACAAAAACTAAGACTTAGTTCTCAGTGTGCACAGTATACTCAGGGAAATTTGAAATTTTTTTCTAAGTTCGAATATCGAATAATATTCGAAAATCGAAATCTTCGAATGTTCGACTATCGAATATGGTTCGAAAATGGACATTTTCGAATCGAATAATATTCGAATATCGAATATCATTCGATATTCGAACTTCCAATATTATTCCGTTCTCGATATTATTCCATTTTCGAATAATATTCGAACAGTTTATGTCAGTGAGACTGGCTATGAGAGGCCAAGACATCTAACAATAAACAGTTTTATGTAAGTATCAAGAAAAGCCACTTTTTATGTTGAAACTTACGATGGAGATACAGTTCAGTGGTGACGCGGAGATACTTGAAACCTAAAACGTACTCCTGTGAGGGCTGTGCAAAGATTTTCCGAAATCTGAGAAAGGCTAAACCTCCTTGAGAGTTGTGGATTGATATACAGGTTTCCCAACAATATATAGATCTGTGTGCTGAATCAAATTAGACTTACAATATGAAGCGATTTATTGATTGCTTTTCACTGCTGTGAAGTTACCGTAGAAAGATTAGAGAGTGTTTTGCGACATTAGGAGCCCTTTCACCAGGAAAGATAATCGAAAGACCGAAAATCCTACATTATACTTCTAATAAAGCTGAATGTCTGTATGTCTGTCTGTATGTCTGTACGTATGTGCGGAATAGAAATTTTTATTTGTGAACCGATTTGGACCAAACTTGGCACACATATACTTCGGGGCAGGGAGCGTGTCATAGGCTACTTTTCGTTATCGATCGATATCGATTCTATCGATTTTTTGCAAAATTTGAGCTACGGGGCTGGGAGTTGGCACAGGGGGGGGGGTAATCGAGCATGCTCATTACGAATATAATAATGACAGGGCCGGGCGGAGCCGGGTTTGCCAGCTAGTTATACTTCTAAAGACACTCAACATGTATAGAATTTGCACTCAACCGTAATGCTTTCTTCACAACATATGCCAGATACACCGTAATAAATGTTTTTGATAGCCTTTCACAAACGTGATTAAACATTTGAAAAGCTTGAAAACTCGTGCGTAGTAAAATCAGCAAAATTTAAGGCTCTGCCACACAATTAGATCTTTTTTGGGAGGATTCTTTTGTCTTATTTCGCAGTTTCTTTATATGCTGGAAGTTTTTACCGTGATAACAAAACAAGAAAAACATGGGTGATTTGCTTGCCTTAATTATAATCTGAGGCCATCCCTACAGGATGTTGCCCAAAAGTTGGCAAAAGACTTCGTGAGGGGTATTAGCGGTCGAACAATGTGCAGATACACTTGAGACACCCCGTATATGTTGTGGATATCGAATTTCCGAATATTCAATGCTCATCGAATTTTCGAATATTCGAGGGAAAGCGAATGATCGAATCAATGACGACCGAATATTAGATTATCGAATGATATCCGAAAAGTGAAATTTTTAAATATTCGATTTTCGAATAATATTCGAAAACGAATATTTTTGAATATTCGACTACTGAATATTATTGGTCTCGGATTTTCGAATATTCGAATTTTTGAATCATTCTGAGCGATTTTTCGAATGATTGAATTATCATTCGATTCGGTCCAAAGTATAGTGCACAGTCTCTCCACGTGGCGTTTTACCCGAGTAAAACGATATAGATTCAGAGTAATTGCTCAAAATTGCAATACTCTATGCTCTGCCCATACGTTTTCATATAGTGTACATAGGGATTCTTCTAAACTTTATAATACATGTCGTGAAGACACTTCGAGTATCTGTTGATAACTTCTTCCCGCGAAATTGAAGAGGAACTTTTCAATAAATTTGTCCTTACTCCTTTACCTGTAGGTCGTTTTATCGTATACTAGCTGGCTTACCCGGCTCCGCCGTATCCGGACCAAACTTGGCACACATACACTTCGGGCCCCGGCGGGTGTCACAGTCCACTTTTTGTTATCGATCGATGTCGATTTTACCGATTTTTATCGATTTTTTTGCAGAGTTCACCTACAGGGCTAGGAGTTGGCAGAGGGGGGGAAGTGAGCATGGGGATTCCGAATACAATATTAGTTTTCAGAATTGTCGAGTACTTTTATTGATTTTATCGATTTTTTGTAAATTTTGACATGCGAAGCTGGGATTTTGCACAGGGGGGTAATCGAGCATGCTGATTACGAACACAATATTAGTTTTCAGGATCGTCCATTACTTTTATCGATTTTATCGATTTTTTTTGTAAAGTTTGACCTGCGGGGCTGGGAGTTTGCACAGGGGGGTAATCGAGCATGCAGATTACGAATACAATATTAGTTTTCAAGATCGTCCATTACTTTTATCGATTTTATCGATTTTTTGAAAATTTGAGCTAGGGGGCTGGAATTTGGCACAGGGGTGTAATCGAGCATGCTGGTACCCCCCTTGGGGTTGATCAGCATGCTCGATTACCCCTCTGTGCCAACTCCCAGCCCCTTAGCTCAAACTTTGCCAAAAAATCGATAAAATCGATGAAAGTAATCGATAATCCTGAAAACCAATATTGTATTCGGAATCCCCATGCTCGATTACCCCCCTGTGCCAACTCCCAGCCCCGTAGGTGAACTCAGCAAAAAAAATCGATAAAAATCGATAAAATCGATATCGATCGATGACGAAAAGTAGCCTATGACACCCGCCGGGGCCCGAAGTGTATGTGTGCCAAGTTTGTTCCGGATCGGTTCAGAAATGGAATTTTCTATTCGGAACA